GTTAGAAAGCTATATAGCTGGTCATACACGATCCTCTCGAATACCTTAGCAATTACTGGAATGACTGAAACTGGTCGATAATTAAGACCTTCAAGACCTTTCTGAAACTGATGTTGCAATAACTAACCAAACAAAAGCATTTTTGGTTATATTATAAGGAAAAGCAAGTAAACAACCTTGTCCAAACATTACATGTAAGGTTTAATTAATGACAACTTGATAATGTCCCAGCAAGAATGACAAGGATTATAGTGCAGAGTGGGTGAGTGATAAAAAGAAAAGATCTTGACTCTTGCGTGACACCTTCTCATGTTTGTCTCTATCGTTACTTTATTTTCTAGGTGTGCCGCTGACGGTGTGTTTGAGCTCACATCCATCTGTATGAATGTTGCTATCTGGTATACAAAGTATGCTGCTAAACTGGCAGCGAAAGGAGAGTAAGTGTTGTGGTTTACCAGATGCCATTTTAAGAGGCTGTATCTGTAAAAACTGACCACTGATTTTACTTCGAAAATTTGATTTTACTCTTAAGCTGGGATTTTGAAGCCCTTGCCTAGTCAATAACTAAAATGAGTTTTATTTGATTAAACATTCTAATTGAGGTTTTCTAGGATTGATTGAAGTTCAGTCTGCTTGATACAAGCTGCATGCCTGCCGAAACTGGAAAAATAGCACATATTGCCAGCGCTCTAAAAAAAATAATATTCACTCAAAAGTCCCAATTATTTTTTTCAGCTATAGATATATCATAGCAGTTTGTTTAGCCGTGTTGCAATTATAATTTAATGTTGTTCCTTCAACAGTTAAAAGAAGATTTTCTACCTGTTAAATTGAGTTTTGAACCAAACGTGAAAATAGCTCTACTTTGAATAAGGCATGTTTTAAAAATGTGGCACCTGTTTGAAACTGCTGAACTACATGAATAGAAAGTATAAATGTCCCTTAATTTAAAACAATAATAAAATGCTGCCATTACATTTCAACAGTATTCAGTCAAGAATGCTTGGGATATATAGTTAATATAAAATTCAAACAATAGTCACAATAAAAAGTATTATTTTTCCACACTAGTAGGGTGAAAAAATTATTCAGTATCTGATGCATTTATCTTGATGAACTCTCCATAAAAGTGATATTTTGTGGTTACTTTTCAATCCAGTTTACTTCCCACTCTTTATGGATATCATTTTTGGTATAAGTGTGAGGCAGAGAGAACTAAAAAAAAAAAAAACAACTAACAGACAAAATTAAAGTAACTGACTAGATAGTATGTTTGAACCGCATCGTGTACAGTACACACAACCATGTACAGTTTGGAAATTATCAACTTAATATCCAAAGTGGGCAAGAAGCTGAAAAAAGAAATGTTTATGTAGGTAGTTACCTCTCACATTACTCTATATCTTCCCCAGGGTTAGCATGGATGAAGCTAAGGAAGTCCACACCAGCTTAAGAACTGCTGCAGGGATTTTCAAATTTGTCAAGGTATTAAATAAATTAAATCTCCTAGATCACCATAAATTATTAATTAATTTATGAAAAGTGAAGTTATAAATATTTAATATACAGGTATTAACCACAGTTTAGCAGTTTGGATTGCAGTAATGACAATACACCAAAAATGTCCTTGAAACTTGTTCATTGAATAAATTCCTCTGTGCCTAGTTGGTCAAAGCACAACCAGAACTCTGATTAGTCTCAAACTCCATAGAAAAGTTGTAACAATTATGTACACTTTTCTACACAAAAAATTAAAATCTTCATCATTTTTTTTTATCCAGTGGGTAATTGAAGGGCCCACTAGACTACGTGTAGTCCCTCCTTCGCTTAGTCCGTCGTGCGTGACGCGAAAGAAAACCGCGAGAAAAAAATGGCTGCGCGAAATCCTGGGGACCAGGAGCGCGCGAAAGGAGGGACTACCTCCTAAGCCCAAGAGTTTGCCCTTTCGCGGCCGAGTGATTTTTCGGTGTAGGATCTCTCATCTTGACGTCCTCTCATTATCGCCTGTCGTCAATAACGCCAGGAGATATCCTGAATAAAAATGCTCAACTCTACTCTTCAAGTAGCCAGGCAAAAACATATGCCATGAGAAGTATATCTTCGTTCAGTGTTCGTTCAGCGAAACGGCCAAAGAGGTTTTAAAAAGAAGACGGCGAATGAGGCATCTTGTAAGGATTTTTGCTACGTCTGTAGGTGTAAATCTAAAAGTTATTGCGAAAATTTCAAATGCAGAGTTTCAACCGAGAATTTACATTATGTATTTGACATAGGAAATCATCCAACTGCGGTGAAATGTTTGCCGATAACAGCGGAAAGTTTAAGGTGAATGTCCGGTTTCAAGTGAAAGTCCGGTTCAATCTTTCAAAAGGACGGCAGAAAGGCCAAGCTTAGTGAACTTATATTCACTGACTTGGACGATGCTGTTGAGTGGCGAAATCACTAACACGCTCGCAGTCGCGTTGGAGGCGGAAAGCTTTGCCAAACAAAACACTGAATAAATTTAAATCTTTTCAAAGCCTGTTGGCACATTCGCAAGAACATCACGGCTTGTAAAGTGCGATTCTTCGATTTGCTCTGGTACCGCTTCGATTTGCTCTGGTTCCAAAACATTCCTACAAGACATCACACGTATCTTGAATGTTGACAACACGTTATCAAGGCTACTAACATGAGCCAATCATATTTTTGCATTGTGAGAGCAACGCATACAGTAATTCAAACTCTTGGGCTTAGGCGGTAGTCCCTCGTTTTGCACGCTCCTCGCTTCCAAGATTTCGCGCGGCCATTTTTTTCTAGCGGTTTTCTTTAGCGTCACGCACGACGGACTAAGCGAAAGAGGGACTACTCGTAGTCTAAGGGCCCACAGGAGCCAATACTTTCAAACAATGTGTCCCAGGGTTCAATGAAGATAAATTGCGGCATTTAAAGGCACAGTGGTCGACGATCAGTATTGTCCTGCTAAGAAAAATGTACTCTGCCAGCCCTGCCTGGCCTTTCTCCATGTACACACACATCCAGTGTCATTGATGATTGAGACTTATTGGTGAATCTTAAAAACTTGCAGATAATGTTACATGGCTGTTAAAGCTTGGCAACATTCTTAGTCATACTATGATTTATATGATGGAATTTCCACCAATGATAAACATTAGTTTAATCTTTATTTCATTTTCATTCTGTTTATTTTGTTTTGAAGGAGAGTCTGATGCCCCGTCTTGGTGAATTATCAGCTGAAAAGGGTGCTGATACTGATCAGCGAGTGTTGGAGGCATACCAGATGCAGTGCGTGGCTGAAGCTCAGGAAGGTTAGAACAGAGTAATTTTTTAATACGGCACATGTGGCTGATCCAAATCACAACATTGATATCTTCAATCATCAGCCTAATGCTTTTCTTTACTCCAACTTTGCATTCATCAATTGGTATACCTCAAGTGTCTTCTCTTTACTGTGCCTAACTTGAAAGAATCAGCCATTCTTGGCAGGATCAGTTTTGACTGGTTTTAAAAACAGTAATGATGATTAGAAGCTGTTTATCAGGTGATTGTTATTACAGTAGTAGCTTACAACTGTGAATTGATGATCTCTTTGTTCTATTTTCAGTTACTGTGGCTCGAGCAGTAGAGCTCAAACATAAAGCATCACTGATCTCTGGACTCACCTATGAGACATCAAAACTCTTTAATGCTGCAAGTATGTTTTGTAATTCAATAATAAAATTATTGAACATTACAATATAGCTACCACAAGTACAGTAGTTAAAGTAGTACATACATGTAGTACATGACAAACTGCATCTACAGAGCGATTTTCAGTGAGTGTCTTAAAACCAAAACCAAGTCATTACTCTGGGCAATCAAAAATGACACTGAGAATACAGTGAACCAATCAAAACTTGAAGAAATCACCTGTAGCTATCAATGCGAAATGTGGAAAAACCTATGTGAGCGCGTCACAACTTGTTTTGCTTTTACTTCTCATTGGATGAAAAAGTAGCACAGAATTTTTCACCCAGTTGTGTTGCGTTATTGATGAAAACTTAATTACTTTTTAACATTCAGTCAAATGAAAACCACTCTGACTATTGTTACATGTATGATTGTGTGTACATGCAATCTTTGGTGACAATCCACATATGGCTAACAAAGATGGCAGCCTCACTAAATTTGTCACTTTTTTTGTGGTAGGTTTGTGAACTGAACTTGACATAGCCAGATCAAATTTTAAGGTTATTACATGTACATGTATTAAAAGCAATGATAATTGAAGGTACGTGCAGTTATTTAAGATGGTACTTATAAATTTCATTGTGGGTGATTGGTATTTTAAAAACCAAAACAAAACAGAATTGTCACCTGGTGTAAAAATATGACTAATGCTTGCAAATGGATTGGTGTGTTAAACTTTGTAAGTTTTGATATGTGTTTTTCTAAATTTCTTGTGCTGTAATTTTATTTAGGTGATTCTTTGAAGTCAGTGGAGCCAGCAAAAGCTGGGAAATGGAAAAAATACTTGGACTTGAAGGCTGCATTTTATCAGTCCTATGTGAGTGCTATAATTAACATCTGCTTATCATTATTTTATGATTTATTGTGTAGTTACATAACATATCCATACCACCCACCCGTATGGAAATTCCAGTTAAGCTTCATAAATGTCTTTAAAGTTTTTGATCTTGCAAAATCAATGGAACCTGATTGAAAACTGTTACGCAGGAAGTACTAGCAATGGCACAAAGTAGAAATTATGATAGGGTACCTGTCTAGAGTGTTTGCCTTTATTTCTTCCATAATATTCACAACTTTTTTCAATCGTTTTTTTAGTTTTTGCTCCTCCAAGGAGGGTGTGGCTAGCCATTCAATCCACCCCCCTAAATCTACCCCCACGCCAAATCATTAAGACGTTTTGCTTCATACTGTATACATACATGTCTTATTGTATGCGTGGTGTTTTTAATTGAAGTCTGTGTTGTTTGCTGTAGGCATATTGTTTTTGTGGAGAAACTCTTCTTGATGAGGATCAATGTGGAAAAGCAATCCGAGCATTACAAGAAAGCGATAAATGTAAACATTTCAGTATCTTGATGGCTACTATCAGAAACCCTTTATCAAACTGTGTAGATAAATTACGGATCGACAGATAGACCGACTGAATGACTGGCACAATTGTAGTGCAATATTAGTTGCTATGCACCATATACTAATGGAATGCAATATGTAGCCAAGCACTACTAATATTACACAGGCTGGAAATTAGAGTATTAACTTAAGTGCAGAAAGTAAACCCATGAAGTGATTGACTTGACTGACAGACTGACTGACTGACTGACTGACTGACCGACTGATTGACGGACTGACTGGCTGAATACCTGACTGATTGACTGACTGACTTACCGGCGGATGGATGGATTGACGGACGGAATGATTGACTAAATGAACGAACAAAAGAAGGAACAACCGAGCGAGTGAATGATTTAGTTGCATTATGATTTTTTTTGCCGTAATTTGCATATTTTTGTATTTTTTCCCTTCATTTGCAGTGTATAAGAAGGCAGAAGCTATTTCCCGGGAGTACTCCAGTACTAGAGGGCCTGGCACGACTGCCCGACCATGGCAGCACCCTTTCTTTCTAAAACTTGGACCTATAATTAAAAAAAAGTTGGAGAAAGCTAACCATGAGAACGGATTCATGTAAGGACATAAGTTTACAGA